ATTAGGAGACAGGGGCATGTGACTTATGAGGAGAGACTGAGGGAACTGGGCTTATTTGGTCTGCAGAAGAGTGAGGGGGTATTTCATAGCAATCTTCAACTACCTGAAAAGGGAGGGGGGTTCCAAAGAGGAAGGAGACAGGCTCTTCTAAGGGGTCTAGGTTGCATAATAAGAAAAACTATTTCACTAGGAGGGTGGTGAAGTGCTGGAATCAGCTGCCTAGGGAGGAAGAGGAGTCTCCATTCTTAGATTTTTTTAAGGCCAGGCTTGACAAAGCCCTGACTAAAATGATTTAGTCAGGATTGGTCCTGCTTTGTGCTGGGGACTGGAGTCTCTTTCAACCTTAATCTTCTGTGATTCTATGACATTTTTTGCCATGGGGCTGGTATGCAAAGCACATCAGTGCACATTTGTTGGAAGGAGTACTTAGCAGAAAGCAGGAAGCATAATTTAAGTTCTAGTAAAACTTTCACATAAGTAAATAGACAATGTTATTGACTAAGCAGTTACCTCTGAATCTATGTTTTGGAACTAACTACAGTTCAGAAAAACAGAGTAGAGATGTGCATGACTCTGAACATAAGGAAGAAGGGTTAGAAAAGAAAATGTTTGGTTTTCAATCAAAAATACGACATGTCTTACGTTATGTATGGGTTTGTTGCAAGCGAGGGTGTAGAATGCCCAAAACCTCTGTTTTCTGTGGCACAACTCTAAGCAACAGTGCTATGAAATCTTCAAAAATGATTCAACACCCTGAAGCCAAACTTCTAAGTTTAATAGAAAATCTAGTGGAATTCTAGTGGAATACAGAAGCGAGATGAAGTGAAGGGGTGAAAGAAACTACCCTACACTGCTATAACATCAAATGAAGCTCTTAAAAGCATTATATCTCCTGTCTTCACACATTGGTAAAAGCATACTACCATTTAAGGTGTGTCTACCCCACTCTAAACTCAAAATAAGATACGCAATTTGCACTACTCAAATTGCATAGCTTATTTCAAGTCTATTTTGAAATAGGCTATTTCAAAATTTGGCGCTGTCTACACAGCACCAAATTTTGAAATAAAACACTATTTTGAGACGTCCCTTATCCCTCGTGCAATGAGGCTTATAGGGATGCCGAAATAGTGCGTCTGCCATATTTCAAAATAGTGGATGCATTCAAAAGACATGGGGTAGATTTGATGTGTAGACATACACTTACATCTAAAGAACTAACCATACTTTCAGTAATAGATGCTTGTCATAAAATCTTAGGTGATACAGCTGCCAAAAACATGACTTGCATTCCTCTGTCAAATGATACTGTGTCATATCAAGTCATTAATATTGTGGAATATATCAATGCTCAGTTGATAGGAAGAGGGAAAGTGGAAGCCGGGTGCGATTCAGTTGCATAAGTCAATGGACATTTCTAACATAGCGGTTCTTCTTGTTTATGTGCACCATGCTCATGAACCTAGGTGCTGACTCTGTCAGTGCACTGGGGCTCAAGCAGCTATGATGGGGAAAGAAGGAATGCTCAGCATTCACAAATCTGAGCTTGAGCGACGAGGAGTCCTGTGGCACCTTATAGACTAACTGAAGTGTAGGAGCATAAGCTTTCGTGGGCAAAGACCCACTTCGTCAGATGCATGTACTTGATACTTGATACTTGAAATCTGAGCTTGCGTGTGACTGTGATGAGTTCTGTGCTGCTAACATCTTCTGCCTTAGGACAGAGAGTTTGTGTCCAAATGGAGTCAGGGAGCTCAAGGATGAAGATGATCCTAAAAGCATTACCAGGCTTTCCAGTTAGAAGATAAGAAACAAAGGGTAGAATAAGTGGTCTGTTTTCAGAATGGAGAGAAGGAACCAGTGATATCCCCCAGGGGCTTTTACCAAGACCAGTGTTGTTCAACATATTATAAATAATGATAGAAAAGTAGCTGTATTAGTTTGGTGCTACATAGTGCTACATAGTCCTGTATTTTGTTTCATATTATAAATAATGTGTGAAAAGTGATAGACAGTGAGAAAAATGTGTAGTTGAGACAAACGTACTTGAGATTAGGGTGACCATACATCCCATTTTGGCTGGGATGGCCTGCTTTTTAAGCCGTGTCCTGACCATCCCGACTAATCATCAGTTGGTGTGAGAAAACTGGACAAATGGACAGTGGGGTACCATGCAGTAAATGGGGTGACACTCACCTCTCATGAGCACCCCTCTGGCTGAGTGCATGAGTGCATGTGCCCACACTCTCTGTTTGCAACCTCTTCAGTAACTCAGCTCTCCAGCTGAGTCACACACCCTGTGTGCGAATCACAAACCCTTTCCATGGTACACCTTTAACCGGGGTTCATCTCAGTACCCTCTGCAGTGTCCCAAGTCTATTCCCCGCTCAGAGAGCGAGTGGGGTCCCCAGGGCTTTCCCTCCTGGAGGCAGCGTCCCACCCTTACCTCAGGGCTTTATTTCGGAGTCCTCACATAGTCCAGCAGTCTCCAATAGCTGTCCACACAGACATGTCCCCTGCCTCCCTTGATGTCTCCAGAGGCACTGACAGCTATCTGGTCCTTCAGCTCCTTTTATAGGGTCTTGTGGCTGGGTTTTCCCTCTATTGCCTTTTTGGGGCAAGGTGTGGCAGGATCACAAGCGGGGGCCTCAGGGTCTGGTTCACCCCGTCACACACCCCTAGGACAGGGGAGGGAGGGATGAGTAGCAATGCCAGCTCTGCCTGGGAAGGAGGACTCAGGAAAGCAGCTGAGGCTGGGCCAATCCCATGCAGGAGGGTGTCAGGGATTTTGGTCTGGCCCTGCCAGCAGAGTTGAGATGGGGCTCAGGCCAGGGCCTGGCAGGTGCTGCAGATCCAGGCTAGCCCTATATGTGGGTGTACTGTAACCAGAGGGGCTTGGGTGGTCTTGCTTCTGCAACCCCTGTTGCTGTAACTTCCGCACCAATTCATCTGAAGTGGTTTTTCCCACAAAAGCTTATGCCCTAATAAATCTGTTAGTCTTTAAGGTGCCACGGGACCCCTTGTTGTCCTATAAGAGACGTTTCCAACCTTTTTTCATTTGTGGCCCCCTTTGGAAATTCAGCCTGTGGTCTGTGGACCCTTACCATCGAAGTCTTAGACTGAAACTGACGGAACAGAATTTAACTCTACACATGGGATATGCTTAGCAAAGCATATGACCCAGTGTGAGAGAGCATGCGAAACTGGGCTATGGTACCAACATTTCTGGGGTTTGAACTGTAGATGGGAGTATTCACATACTTTTGATTGATAAGGAAAATGGAATGCCTTTTCTGGGATCTGAAACTCTGTTTTCAAAATCATCTTTCGCAGATCCCTTAGACTTAGTGTCTGCCGGCCCCAGGTGGAAAGCCACTGTCCTGTAACATGGCACTCATCACTATAAAGTTTGTTGGCTGTGGTCCTTTCTCATTGCTGACACTCAATCAATACTCTCTTGTGTAAGGTCCTTCTTACGTTCTTCCCCCATTCTTGCATTGGCCCCATCTTCCATGCTACTCTTTATGTTTGAAGCACCCTTCCATTCCTCCAGTGCCAGCCAAGGGCTCTATTCTCATATTTCTTCTGTGTGGACTTTCAATGTTAACTCTGATTAACCATATGAAAATGTCTATTACAATTTTTTAAAACACTCGTCCCTGCCTGGGTCTTGGAACTTGGACCTACAAATTATATAACTGTATATTATACAGAATGTCTATGCCTGATTGTACACGTGTGAGCCTGCCTGGGTTATCATTCACTGCAGGTCCAGTTCAAAGTGTTCATGACAATCTTTAAACCTTGGCACGGGGTGAAAGTCCTGTGAAGCGTAGCTCTCCTCGGAAAAGGGTCTGTAAAGAAGGCCTCCTGGGGTCCCATGCTGATTATCGTTCAATGACCTTTGTATCGAATGCACTGTTGGTTACATTGCATTATTAACTGCCAGCTTGCCAGCCCTCGCAGCTCAGTCTAGACACTTTCCTTGGCTAGGTGCATCAGCACCAGAAGTAAAAGTTTTGCAGACTCCTTAAATTATCCCTAAGAAGGAAGGCTGAAAGAACTGGGTTTGTTTAGTTTAGAAAAGAGAAGATTGAGGGAGGGACATGATAGCCATTTTCAGGTATCTAAAAGGGTGTCATAAGGAGGAGGGAGAAAACTAGTTTATCTTGGCCTCTGAGGATAGAACAAGAAGCAATGGACTTAAACTGCAGCAAGGGAGGTTTAGGTTGGACATTAGGAAAAAGTTCCTAACTATCAGGGTGGTCAAACACTGGAGTAAATTGCCCAGGGAGGTTGTGGAATCTCCATCTCTGGAGATATTTAAGAGCAGGTTAGATAAATGTCTATCAGGGATGGTCTAGACAGTGCTGGGTCTTGCCATGAGGGCAGGGGCCTGGACTTGACCTCCCCAGGTCCCTTCCAGTCCTAGTATTTTATGATTCATTCCTTGCCCCTCTGCAGCCTACTTGACACCAGCCAAAGGCCTCCGTGACTGCTGAATCCAGTGGGTTTACACAAACAGAGTGGAATTTCACAGAGGTAAGGGGCTGGCTAGGGTCCGTTATTGGCCCCATTGCTGTGAAAGAAACAAGCTCAGAGCTTTGGCGCTTACGCAGCCCTGGAGAGATTGTGCTGCTGCCGGTAGCAGTATCTTACAGGAGCAGTTCCTTAGAGCCTACACATGTGTGACTGCTCCGGGTCGCACCTCGCCACAGGGCGCGGATCTGTACCAGCGCCCGGAGCGGATCTGTACCAGACTCCGGGGAAAGGCGAACGGGCGGGAGTTTCGCAACTCGCCCCCTTTGCCTCTGCAAGGCAACAGCCCAGCGGGGCTTGATCCGCTTTCAGGGATTGGTAGCGGGGCAGGCTGAAGCCGGGCCGCGGGGCAGCCAATGGGCTCCGGCAGCGAAGGCGGGAGGTCGCTCTCGGGGAGTGGAGCAGCGCGGAGCAGGGGCGAATCGGGGGCGGGTTTTCGCGGGCCAATGGCTTCCCCGCAGCGCTGCCAGGCGGAGCTGCCGGGGACGGGGCGCGGCAGAGCCGGGTCCTTTGGCTGCCCGGACGCTCGTGCGGGACAGAGCGGGCCCGGTGCGGCGGGGCGCAGCGCGGAGGCAGCGGGCAGGGGCATGGCTCCGCTGCAGGGTCCCCAGGCGGGGAGAGAGGAGCCGGGCGCGGGCGCCTCCCCGCGGCGCTTCACTTGGGAGGAGATCGGGCTGCGCACGGGCCGGGGGCAGCCGCAGCAGGAGCGGTGGCTGGTGATCAACAGGAAGGTCTATGACATCAGCCAGTTCTACCGGCGGCACCCGGGGGGCGCCCGAGTCATCAGCAGCTACGCCGGGCAGGACGCCACGGTGAGGGGCCGAGGAAGGGGCGTCCGGTTGACCAGCCCGGGCAGGCTCCCGAATTGGGACCCACGGAGGGGGAGTCGGGTTAGCAGCCAGCGGGGGAGCAGGAAGCCTCCCTGGGGGCGAGAGACGGGAGGGGCCCAACCCGGGACAGCTGCGCTGGAGAGCTGCAGCCCCGGGCTGATCTCAAGTCTGTGCAAGGGGAAGTGCTGCAGGCCGAGGCGAAAGGCACGTGCCATATTACAGAGACTTGTCCCCGCGGTCACCCTCGGCTGCTGCGCAGTTTATTTAACCTTTCCCCTCTGTCACGGGAGACTGGTGTTTTCAAGAAACTCTTCTAGCCCAAGGACTTGCCGTATTCAATCTGCCTGGGAGTGTGGGTCCCACAGACAGTTGTCACTGCCTGGGAGTTGTGACAGAGGGAAACTGCCTCCCCTAGTGTTTACAGGTAGAGACAGATGTTTTCACTCGCATCCCTCTTCAGTGATACTCTGCTGGGAGAAATAACTGGTAACATTCTCTGCTGTTTGGGAGAACAAGGAGTCAGGGGTTACGAAGAGCTGTTTCCTGTTTCTGTGGGTGGAAAAGAATCCAACTTTTGGCCCATTATCTAGATATGGTTTAAAAAAACAAAACACTGGCAGGCAATCAAAGCAATGCCATAGGCAGAGTTTCCTGCTCTCAGTCCCTAGTGCCTAGCTGTGGCTTTCTTTTTAGAAGCCTCTTTAAGTCAGGGTTACACATTCAACTCCTATCAACTCCTATCGTCAGTGTATACGGGCAGCCCACAAACATCCGTGTTTCAGAGACTTCTTGTCTGATGCCGCCCTCTGTGACTGGGGCAGCTGGCTAGAGCCCAGCCTGAAACAAAGACAGTTTTTACTTGCAGAGGTCATTTTTCTAACTCGTTCCTGGTTCCGCTACCTTCTTCAGCTATTATGGGGGTTTGTGTGTGATTGAAAATGCAGCTGCATCTTACAACCTACAGTGTCATTGGGCTACATTGCTGGGATGCATTTAAATTTCTTCTTGGTTTTACTGCTCAGTTTTCTTTATATAAAAGTTATTGTAGAACATAAGAATATAAAAACAGCCACCCTGGGTCAGACCAATGGTCCATCTAGCCCAGTATCCTGTCTGCTGACAGTGGCCAATACCACATGCCCCAGAGGCAGGGAACACAGTAGGTAATCCACACACGATCCCTCTCCTGTCACCCATTTCCAGAAAAATAGAGGCTAGGGACACCATTCCTCCCCATCCTGGCTAATAGCCATTGATGGACCTAACCTCCATGAATCTATCTAGCTCTTTTTTTAATTCTGTTAAAGTCCTAGTCTTCACAACATCCCCTGGCAAGGAGTTCCATGGGTGGACTTTGTGCTGAGTGAAGAAAAACTTCCTTTTGTTTATTTTGAACCTGCTGCCTATTAATTTCATTTGGTGACCTCTAGTTCTTATATTGTGGGAACAAGTACATAACTTTTTCTTATTCACTTTTTCCACACCAGTGATGATTTTATAGACCTCTATCATATCCCCCCTTAGTCTCCTCTTTTCTAAGCTGAACAGTCCAAGTCATTTTAATCTCTCTTCATATGGGACCTGTTCCAAACCCCTGATCATTTTTGCTGCCCTTTTCTGAACCATTTCCAAGGCCAATATATCTTTTTTTGAGATGAAGCAACCACATCTGTAGGCAGTATTCTAGATGTGGGCGTACCATGGTTTTATATAGAGGCAATAAAATATTCTCTGTCTTATTCTCTATCCTTTTTCTTATTCTCTATCCCATTTTCCTGTTCATCTTTGTAGTGGATATTATTTCTTTTATTCACTGTCTCCTTTTGGCACTTCAATACAGAGAACTCAACTCCCACCCTTTCCTTAAATGGTTTAATCATTCATTTTTCTTGGTAAGTGAAGCAGTCCGAGATGCTGGGGAACTTGTGAGAGAAAAGGTGGCGTTTAGAAAGGTGACAGGTTAGAATATTTGCCATCTAATTGGCTCTTCTGCCTCTTAGGGTATGTTTACACTGCATTCCTCTTTCAAGAGAGGAATGCAAATGTAGCCGAGCGAAATTGCAGATGAAGCACAAATTTACAAATCTCGTGCTTCATTTGCATAATGGGGGAAAAAAAACCTTCTTTCAAAATAACCCGTATTCCTTTAAAAATGAGGTTTTTTTTCTGAAATATCCCCATCTAGATGGCATTTTTTTTCCGAAATAGGGTATTTTGAAAAAGCACCTGGACGCCATTATGCAAATGAAGCGCGAGATTTGTAAATTCGCGCTTCATTTGCAATTTCACTTGGCTGCATTTGCATTCCTCTCTCAAAGGAGAAATGCAGTATAGACATACCCAGGGCTCGCCCCCGCTCGCCAGCCACGCTGTCCCGCGATCTGCGCATGCGCAGATCGTTCTGCACATGCGCAGATCGCCTGAACCCGGCTCTTCCGGGTTGCAATCTCCTCGCCACGGGCGAATAGACTGCATTATTTGTCGAGCCCTGGACATACCCTTAATTGTGTTTTGGGAACAAATCTCCAGGGAAACAAAACCAACAGGTAAAAATGGTGTTCTTCCTGCTTCCCTTTCCAGCCTTACTAAAAAAATAAATCACTGCATATTGAGGTCCCTCGTATAAGTCATTTCTGGTATTTGGGATGTACTAGCCACTCCATAGGGCTGGGATGTCATTTTTTGGTAGATGTCAGAATGTAAACTTTCCATTATGAAGCATTTTTGAACACCATTTTTACCTGCCTATCTTGAAAGCTGATCCATACACCTTGTTCTTTTCAGGTGTGCACTACACTTAGTTGGTTTCACAATAAAAAGCTGACAGGTTTGGTGGGAATCGTGCAAAGGTACTGGAACTAGGGATGGAGGAGGTGCTGCTGCACTCGCTGACTTGAGGTGGTTCCCATTGTATACAAGGTTTGCAGTTTGGTTAAATGCCTCTCAGCACACCCTCCCCTGTTAAAAATTGTTCCAGCACCCCTGAAATTGCATTGAGGGCATCATGAGACATGTAAGATGGAAAAGAAGCACTGTTGATTTGAAGAAATATTCCTTAGAAAAGGGGATGGAATAAAAATCAGGGCATATTCGTAAATCTCAGCATTATGTCAAAACTGGATGTCACCTCCTCACTCCTGAGAGAGAGTTTTTCCTCCAGGGAATAAAGACAGGAAAGAAAAGGAAGTGGAGCTTGCTGTAAAAGAGTGAGGGGATGAGAGGGTCACGTGTGTTTCTTTCCCTTGTCCTTCTCATACAAGCTCCTAAGCTTTCACCACAGAGGGAACTGTACAGGGAACTCCCTACCTATTCTCAGAGGAAAGAAGCAGTCAGCTAATCAGCTTGTGAGGAAGTTGAGTGGCCCTGTGATTTGCTGACTGCTTTGTTCTCAGAAAGTGAGTTTTCTCTAAAGGAGGTAGAGGAGCTAGGAATTTATGAGGGGGCTGTTTTTTCTCCTGTTGATTGGATGATTTGCTCATGGTGGTTTACAAAAGCGGATTGGGCTGATTGTACTTGCTTAATAGCACAATCACTTTCTCTACAGCAACACTACTTCTTCTGGCCAGAGGTAATAAGGAAATGTAAAATCTATGTATTTCACACACATGCACACAAAGTCCATGGTCCTTTTAAAAACTGGCTCATTCTTCTTTGTTAATACTGTCATTTCCAAAATGTGCAGTCGAGACTTCGCCTTTGCCACTTTTCAGCCACCAGTTGAATGAAAGGAGATGCCCCAGGACTTAGGAACGCCTGGTTCATGTACCCGCTGTCTCAGACTCCCTGTGATATGCGGGGCAAGTCACTTAATCTCTCTGTGCTGAAGTTTCCCATCTTTTAAATGAGGATAATAGCACTTCCTTAACATGTTGTGCAGATCCATATATATAAAGATTGAGCCAATCTGATATGATGGCCGTGGAAGCACCTTGACAGATACAATGGTTAGCCTAAAATTATAATATGTATCTTGGCCCTCCATCATGAACATACAGCTGGAAAAACTCTCCTTTAGTAGCCTTAGGCCTATTCAATATTCTCAGTTATGTAAGGTCTCTTGCTATCTCATGCCATAATGCCAAACAGCTGTCAGCTCCAGTAAGAGAACTGCATGTTCTTTCTGCTCCTTCTTAGCCTCTCTGTTCCTTTCCTGATCAGCCCATTGCCAAAAATTAGCTATCACCTCCTTTTACTTTTTATCCCTGCTTTGTTGTTTTCCTTGTAACCAGATGAGGTGTAGGTGGCATTAAAGTGTATTATTAGCTATTTGTAATGTGCCTATCAGCCTAGTATTTTATACACTGAAACAATTATTAAGAAATACACAATATGCCTAGTATATATCTTTAGGGTTAGATTGGTATCAGAACTGCAAACATCCGAAAGGGCGTAAGAAATTCCCATACACATATGAGTCAGCTACTTGGACTTTGGTTCATTTGCAAAAAAGTAAGGCTATGTCTACACAGCAACATTTTTTCGAAATAATATAGTCCACGTCTGTACAGCCGGCAGTTATTTCAACATAATGTTGAAATACTGTCAAGCGGGGGGACTTCTTACTCCGACTCCTGTAACCCTCATTTTAAGAGGAGTAAGGGAAGATGGAGGAAGAGTGCTTTATTTTGGAATAAGTGCTGCGCAGACAGCACCAACACTCCAAATAAGCTATTTCAAAATAAACTACGCAATTGATGTAGCTCAGTTTGTGTAGCTTATTTTGAGTTAAGTTCTGCTGTGTAGACATGCCCTAAGTGGAGTTACTTAGCTGCTTACTACCACCCAAGCAAGTGGATGGGGCAGTGTAGCTGCACCAGCACAAAGAGGTTAGTTTACTGTTGGGATAAGCCACGTGCGAATAAAAAAAAAGACTTGTGGCTCAGATAATGCATCTCAGCACTATGCCTGGGGCGGTGCAGCTTAGTCAAGGCTGTGCTTAAAACAAACATCTATCCACTAGGTAATAATAATTATAATTGTACTTTAGGTTAATGCTTTATTTTTCATCTGAAGAGCTCACAGCATTTCACAAGTATGGGCAAGGGTTATTATAATGCATACTTTAACCCCAGCTCATAAATCAGTTGATCACTGTGAAACGAATATTCTAAGGATGCAACATCTCATGTGGTCCTGTGTTCTTCAAGGTTCTTTGGATATCCACAGTTGGGATTAGTTAGCAGTTACCATCCAGTTTTTTTTTTTCTCTCTGGATTGTCTGGTGCAATGGAAAATATTGGAAGTAGATAAGAATCAGGAATGGGATCATTGTTCGAAGAGAGAATGAGGAGATATTATTAATCACATCATTGCCTTCCTGATTTTGGTGCATGTTTATTTCTTGGCCCAAATAACTATATTGCTCAACTTCTGTTTATTCTCCCTTGACTATTATTTGGGCTTTTGCAAGACATTAGACCACATACTTTTTTTGGTGTGGTTCATTTTCAGTCCGACTTGGCTGCTTTTTGCGTCAAGTTCTTGCAGCATTTTATGTAGTTTGTGCAATCAAAACGATAGCTCGTCTGTGAATCTGAGATAGTGTCAGTGGAGATCAGTTTAAACTACTTCCACTCTTCCACTTTGACCCCTCGTTACCATTCTGAGTCAGGCTGTGGTCTCCTTGCTTCACATCTTTTATAACAAGGATGTGAAAGGGAGTGTCAAACAAAGTTATATCCATAGTGCAGCCAGAATTTGCTTCCTTTAGTAGCTTGATGTAGTTTGTGTCAGTGCTCTGCTCCATAAGAACTTTCAGCACTGCATTGATCTTGACTACAAAAAAAAAGTTTGACAATGTAGATGAAGGCAATGCATGAAGGGAATTTATATCTCTGTTCTATGGTGTCTGAAATTGCAGGGGCCAAATCATGTCAAACCAATCTGATAGCTTTCTTGGATAGGATAACAAGTCTTGTGGATAAGGAAGAAGCGGTGGATGTTGTTTACTTAGACTTTAGCAAGGCATTTGACACTGTCTCACATGACCACCTTATCAATAAACTAGGGAAATACAACCTAGATGGGGCTACTATAAGGTGAGTGCATAACTGGCTAGATAACCGTTTTCAGAGAGTAGTTATTAATGGTTCACAATCATGCTGAAAAGACATAGCAAGTGGGGTTCCTCAGGGGTCTGTCTTGGGCCCTGTTTTGTTCAGTATCTTCATCAATGATTTAGATGATGGCATAGAGAGTATGATTATTAAGTTTGCAGATAATACCAAGCTGGGAGGGGTTGCAACTGCTTTGGAGGATAGGGTCAAAATTCAAAATGATCTGAACAAACTGGAGAAATGGTCTGAGGTAAAAAGGATGAAGTTTAATAAGGACAAATGCAAAGTACTCCACTTAGGAAGGAACAATCCATTTCACACGTACAGAATAGGAAGCAACTATCTAGGAAGGAGTGCTGCTGAAAAGGATTTAGGGGTCATAGTGGATGACAAGTTAAACATGTGTCAACAGTGTGACACTGTTGCAAAAAAGCAAACATGATTCTGGGATACATTAACAGGAGTGTTGTAAGCAAGACAGGAGAAGTCATTCTTCCGCTCTACTTTGTGCTGATTAGGCCTCAGTTGGAGTAGTGTGTCCAGTTCTGGGCACCACATTTCAAGAAAGATGTGGAGAAATTGGAGAAGGTCCAGGAAAGAGCAACAAAATTGATTAAAATTCTAGAAAACATGACCGATGAGGGAAGACATCGGGAAAAACTTCCTGCCTGTCAGGGTGGTTAACACTGGAATAAATTGTGTAAGGGGGTTGTGGAATCTCCCTCACTGGAGATATTAAGAGCTGGTTAGACAGACACCTGTCAGGGATGGTCTAGAAGATAGTGCTTGGTTCTGCCGTGAGGGCAGGGGACTGGACTCGATGACCTCTCGAGGTCCCTTCCGGCTCTATGATTCTATGATGATGAGGATGGAGAAGAGGTCCATTAGAAATGGCTAAAGAGAGTAATTAGGGATATGAGTGACAGAGAATACTCTAAAGTGAGTATTCCTCTGAGAGAGAGAACTGGAGAAAAGGAAATGGAGTAAACTGCTCAGGTGAGGTTAGAGGTGAAGGAGAGAGGGGATATGGACATTAGACAGGTGGTGTTGAGAGGCTATTTTGGGAATGGAGATATAATTGTGTGAATGGAGGTAGAGGAGGCAAAATCAGGGGAGAGATTTAGGATAGTGAAAGAGAATGATGGGACTAGAAAAGGCTTATGACATATGTTATGGGATTGGATGATGGGGATGGATGGACAGAATAAAATAAATTAGATTCTAAGACAGCAATTCAGGATGGGGGGGAGAGAGGAAAATGAAGAAATGGAATTGACTTTGGCTTGAACGATGTTGGCAAAGTGAGATGACATGATTTTGGCTCTGAGCATGCTCTCTAAACAGCTGACTGCTTTGAGAGAATGTGCGGCCAAAAGTCCTGACTCCAGCATCACTAGTGAAACTTAGGTTTGATAAATGTGCTTATGCCCTGTAATGCTGATTGCACTTTTGGTTCCAAACAACACCCGCAGGTTCTAACTATCTCAGCATCTTCTGATGGTCATGCTACTTGTTGGCTTCCACCTAAGTGACACTAAGAATTTGACTCCTCTTTGGGGTGTCTTGTGTCAGTGGCTACATCAAGCTGGGCAGAATTTCAGTGTCTGGGGGCATTGACCCAAAGGGCCAGAAGGGAACAGCCTAGGTAAATATTGTTCCTGAACTTTGGTTTCATTCATTCATTCATTCATTCATTCATTCATTCATTCATTAGGTACAGGACAGGGGAAAGAGAATTCATTAATCCATTACTCTTTGCAGAAGAAAATATATCATATATATTATAAAATGTAACACAATATGGCATTGCCATTCAAATACGTTTTGTTTTCTTCATTTAAATCATTGATCTGGGTTGGGGCTGTGGATGAGGGGTTCGGAATGCAGGCTACCACAGGGAGAGACGACAACCCCAGCCCCCTCTCACCGCAGCAGCTTGGAGCAGGTGAGAAGTGCCTGTCTATGGTTGCTGCAGTGGGCACAGCCGTGGGAGGAATGTATGTCCTCTGGCTAGAAAAACTCCCTGAAATATATAGTAAATAGCTGTCCCAGTCCCCATCTCTGTCCCCTTGCTGGCCCCCTTCTTACCCCCCCACCGTGATCATTCTGCAATATAACTGTCCCTCCTACCAGACCCCTCCCTTTCTATTTTATGAGAAACAATTGAATTCCAAGCACATCCCATTGTCCTGGTACAACCAAACCCTGACCTTGCTTTAAGTTATAAGAGGAAACTGGATATCAAACTTGGGGGTTATAGTTCTTATCATTTAGGAGTTCTTGAACAAATTGACTGACAGACGGACACACACACAGATGCACAAACTCTCTCAAATATATATGGAAAAAATGCAAAGTTTATCTTTTAAACTTTATATTCTTCTATCCTACTTCTTCGTTCCTCTTGATTTTGTGATGGATTCCAAAGCAAAATGTATCTAAGGTCAAAAAGCATGAGCTCTCTGCTGGTTTCAACTTGTTTGTCTGTAGTCAGAGGACTTGTAGAGCATATTGTCTCGCTAACAGCATTTTTCCAATTGAAATATTTTGAAATTGACAATTAACAAGATGTTTATAGTTGTAGCTTTATTGAGCCCAAGATATGAGAGACACAAGGTGGGTGAGATTTCTTTTATTGGATCAACTTCTTTTGGTAGAAGAGACAAGCATTTGAGCTATACAGAGCTCTTTTGATTTCCATGGAGCTTAAAAGCTTGTCAGAAGTTGGTCTAATAAAAACATCTTCTCTCTGTTATTTCAGTGAGTTGTAAGCTTTATCTTTAAGACAGTTGAGGCAAAAAAGCTTAATCCTTCACAATTCCATTGATTGGGAGTTATTCCACTGACTTAATTGGGAAGAGAATCAAACCTAATTAGAGCTTGCCTTTTTTTAACAAAAAACTTTCATTGAAAATATTGCCTTGTTTTGAAAATGAAATTTGTCCCAAAAAAGGTCACTTTTTTTGAAAATTTTCTTTTTTTGCTGAACGTTTTGTGATTTTTTTTTCAGTTTTTTTTTATTGAAAGGGTAAGCAGATTTTTTTTTATTGAATTCATTGTAAATTATTTAAGCTTTATTTATCAAATTTCTGAAATAATGATAAATATTATTAAAATGCTTTGAATACTTTTTTTATTAAAAAAATCACAAATAATTGAAAGAAGAAGGGAGGGAAAAGGAGCTTGTTTTGAACCATTGAAATGGGATATTTGATATTTTTTATAATTTTTGTCATGTTTCAAACAGATCTAAAATGATTTAGTATGTTGAAATAAATTGAGTATTAGATACTAGTGTACATTTGTAGCAGGCATACTCAGTTTACTGTATTTTTAATGCATTGTTTTCTGATACAGAATAGAATAGAATATATACAATATTATACCGAATTTTAGACCAGAATTGCTTACTGCTGCATTGGGACATAATCTTCTCCTGTTAGTTTTTTATCTTCTTAATTAGTTGTTAGCTTAATAACTCCTGGGATTTTTCTCACTCCATTTACTTGTTTTTTTTTTCAGGATCCATTTGAGGCCTTTCATATTGATAAGGAGCTTGTGAGAAAGTACATGAGCTCACTGCTGATTGGGGAGCTGGAACTGGATCAGCCAAGTTTTGAGCCAGCCAAAAATGTGAGTCTGTCCGAAAGGACAGAAACCTAACTGGATCTGGGAAAATGCAAATTCAGATTTCTATTCATGTATTTGTGACCCCATTTCCTTCAGAGTAATATTACTGTGGTGTGATTATGCAGGGCTGTCCCTACACTTATGCAGAATATGCTACTGTTGAGGGCACCTGAAAATTTGGGGCACCACTGGATCTTACTGTCTACCCACCTATGTCTTCCTATCTCTGTTCTGTGACTCTGCTTCCTCCAAAGAGGATCTCATTAACTTGTAAGTGAAAAAGCCTGCCAGACCTCTTAGCAGACATTAAACATATGAAAGAGCAATTCAAGTGGTAATGAAGCCATTGAAAAGGCATTTACCAACCCCAGGTATATACTGTCAATTTCTGAATTTACTGTGTTAGTCTACAGGATCTTAGTTTAAAAATTGCTTTACAAATATTTCATAAGTGTATTGCTGTAGATATTTTAAAGATGTGATTTTATAATCATGCCCCTTGCTGCCATCGGGCATAGGGGCAACAGATTAATAGTACTGCATAGGACCCCATAAATCCTAAGGACGGTCCTGTGATTATGACATAATTGTGAGGTATTTTATGCAAGATAGGTCATGTGAATGTCATAGAAAGGGTTATGATTTATTGAGTATGATTATTTTGGTTGTATGCATATTTTTTTTTTGTATCAGAAGTTAGGAATATTGACTATAAATCTGTATTACCAGTGAGTTTACACCTGGGGAATGCCACTAGGCAGAATGTAATCAGTCTAGATAGCTGGTTGGAAGGGCCAATGGAGAAAACAATAAACCTTAGAATATGGTAATGTGCCATTGGGGAGCCTTCCTGAGGGTGTCACAAACAGCCTCCAATTTATGGCTGCTGTGCTTCTACAGGGGCATGTGAGCAAGTCATCTGGTACAGGACTCCATCTTGGAATACCAGTGTTTTTTCACTGACTCGATGTGGAAACCAACAGGGGAGACAAAGGGTTCTGGCCATATGCAAAAGCTATTTATGGCAGGGGCGTGGCAATCACTGTGGTTCTTCACTGACCTCCTGCCCAAAGAGACTCCTGGGAACATCTGAGGAACAAGGATTGAACTGGGGAGAAGTGCTGGACCCAGGCTAGAGGGATCTCTAGCCTGTGAAAGGAACGCCTGAGGTTGTAAGCTGTATGTAAGTGAAGCTGGCCTCTCAAAAAATCTCTGCAGACTGCTTTAATCATCATTTAGGGTGACAATTTGCTATTCCTATCCAAATCTCTTTAGTATGTTAATCTTAGATTGTGTTTTTTGTTTATTTGCTAAGTAATCTGCTTTGATCTGTTGGCTATCCCTTATAATAGCTTGAAAACGATCTTTTGTAGTTAATAAACTTGTTTTTGTTTTGTCTAAAAGCAGGATGTGGAAGTCTGAAAGCTTCCTCTACACATTGAGGGAGGGGGCAAATTTCATGAGCTTATGCTGTGCAGTTCTCCGTGCAGTGCAAGGCAGGATAATTTGGAGTTTACCCTCCAGAGGGGGTGCATGCTGTAAGAGCTGAGCGGTGCCTTAGCTGTACCTTCCCATGCAGGGGCTAGTTAAAGAATCTGTGTGAATATAGCTATGTCTGGGTGTGCCCCTACCAGTACATATGCTGGTGACAGTGCAGGCTGAAGCATGGAGGGCTTGGCAGCTTGTCACAGTAGTACAGTGTGAGTGGAACCCCAGGCTGGTGTCACCCAGTTCAGGTGTCACTGGGGGGTGGGTGGGATTGAAATTATAGAACTGTCTGTCAGAACCTCCAGTATAGTTCACATTGTGTCTTGGAACCACAGTGCCTGGAGGAGGAAGGCTGAAGAGACCTTGGTTAAGGGCTTCCCCAGGTGTCACCGTAATCCACACTGGGAATGGCAAGTCCAGCCTGCCACAGATTTCCCCTAATACACAATTTTCACAGTGAATCCCACAGAACTGTGACAGTTGGGAAGAACGTGTCAGCCACAGGATCTCCCCAGTGGTACAAAGACACTCAGTGTGGTTAACAGAGCCTGGAGTTGCATTGTCCCCTTTCAGAGGGAACAGAACCTCGGGGTGACATGGTGACCCCTCTGCAGAACAGGAGTAGAGTAAACCTGCCAGCTCCTTAGGCTGCTATTGCCAACCCAGAGTGAGTAATGCAGAGAGCTGAACACCACTGTCGAGCGGATGGGACTCCTCAACTCCAGCCATCTCTTCTTCTTCCTGCTTCTCTTGCACATTGTGCTGCTGGAAGCTGCTGGCTGGTTTGTTCTTTGGTCTTTTGGGACATCCCCAGTGCCTTTCCTCATCTCTGCAGTGCTGCTGACCATGTCTCAGGTAAATTCCTCAACCCACAGAATGCAGTTTGGGACTCATCTACCCTTCCTCACGCTCAGGGCCAGTTACATATTCCTGAGAGGTCCCTTCCAGTCCTAGTATTCTATGATTCTATGATATACAGCTATTCCCCTTGTCTTTGCTGTGGCTTTTCACCTGACTATCAGGATACTATTTCTTTACCGGAGGCTGTCTGAATACCCAAGATTCAGGTTCAGGTAGAGGTACTCAGAGGACTGCAAATGCTACTGGAATAGTGGTTACGGGAATTCACAGTTACTGGAGTTCTTGTCTTTCTCAAGAACATAGAAAATGTAGGCGTGATGAATGTGGACAGCTCAGAATTTCTCAAGTTTACAGTCTCGTCCAGCTGGAGGTACAATGGGCAATGATGTGGAAATGCTGGATCTAAGGGTTCACAGTAGCTCTAGTCACAGCCTATCCCAAGGTAGAGATGTTTCACGTTGTGCACTCTACCTCACGGTCTGTCTGACTTTTGTTTTTTTTATTCTGGCTGAGTGAAATCAAACTGTCAGTACATGTCTCCTTCCCATAGTCTGCTAGACTCAGAGGTTCTCACAAGAAAAATTTTGATGGCCTCAGAGTGTGGCCACCAACCTTTCCTGGTGGCTACTCTGACAAATACTTTAAGAAAAACAAATATGTCCAAATCATTGTAATTTACTTATGTAGGTGGTTTTTTTTGCAGACTTAATAATAAAAATAATGTACTTTTGTCTCTGTTCTTTATTAGACCTAAACAGATCTTTGATTTCTTTGTGTCAGAACTTTGAGACTTATTCCGTGTATCATAGAATCTAGAATACTAGGACTGGAAGGGAACTCGAAAGGTCATCGAGTCCAGCCCCCTGCCCTCATGGCAGGACCAAATACTGTCTAGACCATCCCTGATAGACGTTTATCTAACCTACTCTTAAATCTCTCCAGAGATGGAGATTCCACAACCTCTCTAGGCAATTTATTCCAGTGTTTGACTACCCTGACTGTTAGGAATTTTTTTCCTAATGTCCAACCTAAACCTCCCTTGCTGCAGTTTAAGCCAATTGTATCTTGTTCTATCCTCAGAGGCCAAGATGAACAAGTTTTCTCCCTCCTCCTTATGACCCCCTTTTAGATACCTGAAAGCTGTTATCATATTCCCCCTCAATCTTCTCTTTTCTAAACTAAACAAACCCAATGCTTTCAGCCTTCCCTCATAGGTCATGTTCTCTAGACCTTTAATCATTCTTGTTGCTCTTCTCTGGACCCTCTCCAATTTCTCCATATCCTTCTTGAAATGCGATGCCCAGAACTGGACACAATACTCCAACTGAGGCCTAACCAGCGCAGAGTAGAGTGGAAGAATGACTTCTCGTGTCTTGCTCGCAGCACACCTGTTTATGCATCCCAGAATCATGTTTGCTTTTTTTGCAATAGCATCACACTGCTGACTCATATTTAGCTTGTGGTCCATTATAACCCCTAGATCCCTTTCTGCCGTACTCCTTCCTAGACAGTCGCTTCCCATTCTGTATGCGTGAAACCGATTGTTCCTTCCTAAGAGGAGCACTTTGCATTTGTCTTTATTAAGCTTCGTCCTGTTTTCTTCAGACCATTTCTCCAATTTGTCCAGATCATTTTGAATTATGACCCTATCCTCCAGAGCAGTCGCAACCTCTCCCAGCTTGGTAGCACTGAAAGATACATGTCTTTCCTGTGCCTGGTTGGTCCTGTGGCATTACTAATGCTCAGAGAAAATGCCAGATGGCTTCTTCTCAAAGGAATGGTGGTCTTCTACAGAGTTCAAATTACTTCTATAGAGTTAGCTCCAGTCCTTAGTTCCCTACCGTCCCTTCACCCACTACTCTTTTCCCACCAAAGTATCTGGTAATGTGGGGAAAAAAGTGCTTTCCTGAGATCAGGAACACATGTTTTCACCAATCTGGTGTTGAATGCTTTAGAGTTTACTGAACATAGTCTTAACAAATTGTAGGCAGGAGACATGGCACACAGAGGAACACCTTAGGACAGAATATATTGAAAATACAAAAGTTTTCCTTCATACCTGCTGAAAGCACTCATCAGGTTGGTTTGCTTTGATGGTACCTTGGGAGAAGATCCTTCAAGAGAACGGAGATCCCCGTGGTACCAAGAAAAAAGTGTCAATGAGTTGGGGAGCATGGACATCCCAGTTTTCATAGAATCAGTAGGACTGAGCATATCACCCCCCAGGTCCTGATGCAGGCACGTACTAAAACTTGGCCCTGTTTACTGAATGACCCTTATTCTTCTTCAGTCCCAGGCTGGCTTTCTGCAGCACGATTTGGGCCACCTCTCCGTTTTCAGCAATACCAAATGGAACCACTTGTTCCACGAGTTTGTCATGAGCCATTTGAAGGTAAGTGCCTGATACTAGGCATGTTCACCCAACTTCGGCAGAATTGATGAAGCCTGTGAAGGCAGGGTGTTCCTTTTCAGCTCAGATAGCATCATGCTGACATTATGCGCTCTACGTGTAATTAGAAGTATGTGGTGTGACAGTGGAAAGACTGTCAATACAGGATGGAGCAGGTGATTTTATATTTGGTAGTGTTGCAGTCTGATTCTTATGACGTCTTCCTTTATTGCAGGGACTTTCTGCATGCTGGTGGTCCCTCCACCACTCCCAGCATCATGCCAAGCCCAACTGCTTCCACAAAGACCCTGATATTTCAATGCATCCCTTCTTGTTTACTTTGGGAAAGACACTTTCTGTGGAGGTGAGTGCAGTGGTGCTGGTGTTCTAGGAATTATTTAGACCAGTGTTTTTCAACCTTTTTTGTATAAAGTACCCCCTTTAAAAAAAAAAGTACCCCCCCTTTAAAAAAAAAAGGACCCCTAGTGCCTACAGTTATCAGACACACATAATTTTTTTCTACCATTGCAACATGTTTGTTTAAACAACTTAATCATAGCTGGGCGGGCAAAATATTTGGGTGTAAGAAGTACAAAAATAATAAAGCGCTGCAAAACTTAAAACAAAAATTCATTTTTCTCCAAATTTCAGTTGTGTTGACATATCCCCCAGACTTCTCTCGTGTACCCCTAAGGGTGTTCATATCGCTGGTTGAGAAACACTGATTTTAGACCACTGAAAAGATATGATGCTAAAAGTATCTGAAGTCAGGAGGCTGTATGTTTGGGAACAAGCTACTACCTGGATCTGAAAAGGGGCAATGATGGGATGAAGATTTGTTGTCCAAAATCTCTTTGGATTCTATCAGAAACAGAGAATAGAAGATGAAAGGAAAACCATGAGAGCAAAAGGCAACAAGGAAATGAGGGAGTACTTTTGTTGTGGTCTGCATTTCCCAATTGCCTATATCAAATGCATCAGGATATGTCGAGTTGCATCCTGTCTCCTTAAAATACCAGATTATTTCCCTTTTCCACTTCCTCTCTGTGACATGCCTAAAGTACAATTTAGTCTGTTGAACAGCTGTGTCTCGTCAGCCCTCTTACCTGGTGTATCCTTTATGCCATTTTGCTGCTGTAGTTACTGTGACTCTGTGCCCTATATTCATCATAGTAATATTATAAATATGGCATCATTATGATGCATTTTTGTACAAGATGGGTCATGTAAGGTGTCACTGGAAAAATTATAATTTTGCTGGATATGATTATTTTATCTGTCGGCATGTTATTTCTGTATCTGAAGTTATAAATGCTGACTATGGATCTGTATTTCAAATGGAAACACCCACAGCCAGCCTTTCAGGTACAAAAAATGAAGAAGTCAGACGGTGTTAAAGACTCCTCAACAAAGACAACAGGCTATGGAATAGCTCAGCCACATGACTGTGGACTCTTGTATTCTTCCACAAACTGGTCTGGGAATCCAATGTAAAACCAAGGGTTCCCACCATATAAAAAAGTTACATAAGGCAGAGAGTGACACAATTGTTCTTCACTCCCCCCATGACAGCTCCTGGAAACACCTAAAGAACAAAGATTGAACTGGAGAAGTGCTGGAGCCAGGCTAGAGGGTTTTCTAGCTTGTGTATGGAAAAGCTGGGAGTCCCAAGCGGCTAAGCAAGTGCAGCTTGCACTTTGAGGCTTTGCAAGCCTGCTTGTATCAGCAGTCAGGGTAAAGGTTGGATATGAATTAGCAGTTTATCTAGTATGTTAAGATGAGTTTGTGTTTTTGTTTGTTTGCTAGATAATCTGCTTTGATCTGTTAGTTTTAAGCGATTATGAGTGATATCTATCTTTTGTAGTTACTGTGGTTTCATGCTTTATCTAAACCAGTAAGGTTGGAGTGAAGTGCTTGGAAATCTTAGATCAAGGGGAGGGGACTGTTACATTTTCTTCCTGCATTGAAGGGGAGGCAACTGGATAACAAATTCATACAGCTCAGGGGTTTGACTAAGGCAGGACAGTAAAACCGTGGTCCTAGGCTGGTGATTTTGTCTGTAGCCTGTCTATGGTTGATTCATGCTGGTCAGCCTGCCTCTGTGTGTGTCTCTGCCTGTGTGAATGCTGGTGGAAGAGTGAAAAATAGCAGTGTAGTCAGGGTAGCACAGGCACTAATGCCCCTGAACTCCCTGGGTACTCCGACAACTACCCCTAGACACCGCTCAAGCTGCCCACAGCGATGTTGCTATTTTTAACCTGAGCACACAAGTGTGCACACACAATTCTGCTCACTTGCAGCTGCAGTGTAGAGGTACATTGATTAGCTCAAGAGAAGAACAAGAGTCAGATCTTAGCAGCAGGAGCAGAGATCTGCCAATACCCACTGTTCCCATTAATCATGATGAACCATCTGAGATCTGCATGAGGAGAATCCCCTTCACATCTGAGTCTCACCTAGATGGGTTTATGAAGGGGATGGTTTGCTGAGATAACATGATCTTGGTAACTAATGGACCATTCACTATCAGTGGGAAATAGGTCAATGGAGGGATGATAGGAGTTACTATAAAGAACCTTCTGGGTGTCTGGCTGATGAGTCTTGCCCACATGCTCAGGGTTTAGCTGATCGCCATATTTGGGGTCGGGAAGGAATTTTCCTCCAGGGTAGATTGGCAGAGGCCCTGGAGGTTTTTCGCCTTCCTCTGTAGCATGGGGCACAGATCACAGCTAGAGGATTCTCTGCATCTTGGGGTCTTCAAAGTATTTGAAGGCTTCAATATCTGGGATATAGGTGAGGATTATTCTAGGAGGGGTGGGTGAGATTTTGTGGCCTGCACTATGCAGGGGGTCAGACTAGATGATCATAATGGTCCCTTCTGACCTTGAAGTCTATGAGTCTATGAGTTCACAAGGAAAAGTGGGGAAATCAGCTACCTCTGTGGCTGCATGTCCCTCCACATGGAGCCTGAGATCAGTAGGTAAAGTCAGGTACAGAATTGTGCCAGCCTGAGAGAGTGGTGGGTAGATAATGCATTAACTTATTCATGGAGCCTCCTCTGTGCAGGATCTGGTAGCCTTTCTTCTAGAAAACTTGGGTGGGGTTGGGGCAGCGGCCCCAGAGCCAGTATAAAGCACGGGTCCCTAGCACAGATGGTGCTGGCTGCCAGCAGATCTCCAATATTCACAATTTCTGAGCCTCTAGTTTCTTCTGGAGGTATGGTGAACCTTGCTCCACAAGGAAAGAATTTGGAGAAAACTCCTCAACTGGAATCTTATGGGAGTATTCCTCCTAGTTGGTGGTCCTTCTTCAGGTTTTTCCATCAGAGAGGCCATCTGGTTTTATATCTGGAAGCTCTTCTACCAGAATATGGTCCTTAGATAGCTGATCATTTTGGATATAAAGTTTCTGGACTGGTATCTCACTGACATTAAGTATGCAAGAATGAAAAAATTAAAAAGAATGTATGTATTTAAAGTTATAGGGAAAATGTTTATTATATTTCATTGAGGAATCGTATATGGTGATTTAATTAGGCCTCTTCTGATCTCCCTTCTGCTGTTGTAATTCAGTGGATTTAGATATCTAAGCAGGTGTGTCTCAAGGAGGAGGCAGTGGAATTTCTTTAAGAGGGCGTTTCTCTGCTTTGCTGACCTGTCATAACCCCCCTCCTTTTTTTTTTGTATAGCTTGGGTTGAAGAAGAAGAAGTTTATGCCTTACAATTATCAGCACAAGTATTTCTTCATCAGTGAGTATCTGCCTTAGCCTGAGGGCCTTTATCTAATAATATCACCCACTCCTACACGGAATAATCTCAGGGGCAGAAAGGACGTCTTTTGTCCTGTGACTGTTTTATAGGAGATCATGGTGCGTGGAACATACAATCTAAGGCTGAAATTGTCACTTCATGAGACAAAGCAATGGTAAAACGGTGAAATGAAAGGGGAGAAATGAGATCAGATCAGAGGAAACAGAGGAGTAGTCATGGGTGAGAGGAGATGAGGGAGAATCCATATATTCAGTACTATCTGAGCACCTTATAGATGCTGATGTTAGAAATCAGAAGGGCCTTTGTTTCTCTCTCTGTCCCTCTCTTGCATGGAGCGAGTTCCTGAGCCAAAGAGGTGCTTCTGAGGTGCTTGACAATTTCACTATTATAGACAACTGTAGCGACAGTGCAAACTAGTGATTATGGAGAGCGAGGCAGTCTGTCAGGCAGATAAGTATCAGACAGGGAGCAGGCATACAGTGTAGTGCTCAGGTCATGTGGTGTCCATGGGCTGTGTTGATATATGTGTGAGCTGCTGCATTTTGAGCCATCTGGAACACTTTGCATTCATCTACTACGTATTTGAGAGAGTTTGTGCATCTGTCTGTCCATCCGTCCACCCATCTCTGAGTCCATTTGTTCAAGAACTCTTCCTAAGCGGTAAGAGCTGGTAGGCAGCATCCTTGTCTCATAACTTAGTGCAAGGTCAAAATTTGGTTGTGCCATGACAATGGAATGTGTGTGGAATGTGATTGTTTCACATCAGACCAAGAGGGAGGGGTGTGATAGCAGGGATAGTTATACTGACGAATGACCAAAGGGGGGCAGCCGCTGGCCAGCAGCATGGTCCCAATACCCTGGGCTGCCCCTGAGGAGCATCCGCCCATTGTGCCATGCAGCCTCTCTTACTCAGGGCCAGCACTGGGGAGAAGCCAGTGAACATCCTGCATGCTCCCTCCCTGCCTTGGGCTGGCCCCAGTTCTGGCCTACACCGGATAAGTCTGCTAGTTTTAATGTATTGCATTGCAGGAGTCAAGCCTGGAGGTCATGAAAATGTGGATCATCATGGTCAAGTCCAAATCTGACAGTAAGGAGTGCACTCTCCAGGCCACCAGTGGGGAGAAGAGGGCAATTTCACTGCTGTAGCTCTTTGAGTAATCAGTAGTATTGATGAAAGATGGTCTGCAGCATCAGATTCACCTAGAGACTCTAAGGTGCAGGCAGATAATATTGTTTTGCATTCAGTCAGAAACACGTACAGAGTTGAGAGTCCTCTACAGATTGCCTGTGTCTGAATCTCTGAAATGGAGGCAGGAAGGAAAGAAGGATGCTCACTAGACGGTGCGATTCATGTCCGTGCTCTCTGTTTTCTTCTCCAGCTATGCCCTTGCTTGTGGTTCCAGTGTTCCAGTTGTACTCCATATACTTCATAGTCCAGCGCAAACTGTGGCGGGTAAGCACATCCAGCATGTCTCTCACACCTGTAAACAAACCACTTGCTGAGCTCTTCTGATTGAGGAGGTTTTGGGACCAGGCCCTTGTTTGTCTAGAGAGGAGGAGGAGAATTACAGTGCGTGGATGCAAGGCATTTTCTGGGCTGGATTCACGTTGCTCTGAGGCGGTGAAAGGAAACTCTCCTGCAAGGGCAGCCAGTGGGGCTTACAGGATTGATGTCTGGAGCTGGATTCCTGCTACTCCAGCATAGTTGAAGGGAGTTACAGCACAGGAAGAGAGAGTGGGCCTTTCTGGGTGAGGTTTCTCAGGCAGGGCACACTGCAGTGACATAATGGAGACAATCCACAATACGTGGACCATGTGGGAAAGTTACAAGGAAACTTCCCAGGCTGGATCCTCACTGATGTAGGAGGGTGGCAGGGAGCATGCCAGGGACAGACACTGAGGAATTAGGGTCTTCGTTCCTCCCATTGTGGGATGGTGGAGGGAGGCTGTTCTGCTGGAAACGTCTCTCCTAATGAAAGTTTCTCTCTCTTCTCACAGGAACTAGCCTGGACTCTGACCTACTTCATCCGATTCTTTTTTTTCTTCGAGCCCCTACTGGGTGTGAAGGGTGTCCTGGGACTCCTCCTGCTACTCAAGTAATCCTCACCCTAGTCATGAGTCCCCCTGCCTGCTGGTACTCACAGCTGTCTGACCCATCCCCTTTGCCCTTCCAGCTCCTTCCTTCCCATCCCTGGTTGCCTCCGGCCACTCTTCTGTTCTCCCTTTCCCCATCATTGCTTTCCTCTTCTATAAGTGCAGAAACTGTGTTTCCTATACATTGCCCTCACTTCTGTGGGGGCCTTGTACTGACTATTTGCTGATTGGGTCACCAGAGGGAAGTTCTACTTGGAAGCCAGTCGTTCTGGTGGGCTTAGCGGCCTTTTCCTAGCCAGAAGGCACGTCACAAGGCAGACGTTGGTTTGGGATTGCAGGCCAGTTACTAACCATTGCCAATTTGCATGGGTATTTTCCTGAGCAATTATTGGTTAGATTGTGGTGGCCAGTTACCTATCAATTACAGGTTTGGACTGGGATCTTATCTGGGTTAGGTGCCAGTTACTGGGCACTTCTTAGACAGGTTTGATGTGTGGGTCTCCAACTGGTGTGACTGTATGTGGCAATGACTCCTTTGTCTATATCTGCACAGTGTCGCGGAGAGTATATTGTTTACCTGGATTTCACAAATGAACCACATCCCTATGCACATTGATTACGATAGCAACATGGATTGGTTCTCTACACAGGTAAGACTCATCCCTTTGCCAAGGTCTCTGAGTGTCAATCCCAGGTCAGGGACATAGGGAGAATACAGGACATTTTTGCAGTAAAGATAAAGGTCAAACCTGAGCCCAGGGATGGTGAGATATTGGGTAGAGGAGGGCTTGTGATTATCAATGGGGGAGGTCTAGCTATTAGGAAAAACTATTTCCCTAGGACAGTGGTGAAGTACAGGGATGGGTTATCTAGGGAGGTGGTAGAATCTCACCCCTAGAGGTTTTTAAGTCCTGGCTTGACAAAGCCCTGGCTGGGATGATTTAGTTGGGGTTGGTCCTGCTTTGGGCAGGGGGTTGGACTCAATGATTTGCTGAGGTCTCATGCAACCCTATGATTCTATCTGTGTGGGGAGGCAGGGAATGAAGCATGCACTGGTCGGAGGTTGCATGGAGACTAAATTGGGGTAAAAACCAGAATGAGAAGAATTGGATATGGAAACGGAGTGGCAGGCAGAAGCTGCCTCATCAGGGCATGCACCTACAGCTCTCCCTGCACAAGAGGCTCTGATACTCTTCTCCTTCCTTCCTGCCCATTTCTTCCCAATGGAAGGTATCAGATGACACCCTACAAGCAGTGGCACGGCAGATCTGTGCTTGTCCCACTGAGTGAGGAACTGAATGAAACCGTAACTGTTCTCACCCAGCCGTGGTCTCCTGCCCTACAGCGGAGGTTCTCAAACTTGGCCGTACCCCTCCAGAAGGTGCACATTGTATTCTGGGCTGTGTGAGAAGCTTTAGGAGAGCAGCGGCTGCTGGCTGGGCACCCAGCTCTGAGGGCAGCACCGCTCTCAGCAACAGCAGAGACGTAAGCATGGCCATGCCTTATCCTGCCACCTTTACTTCTGCATGGCCGCTGGCAGTCATGCTGCCTTCAGAACTGGCCACCCAGCCATCAGCTGCTGCTCTCAGCTCCGTCTTCAGGCAGTATATAGAGTTGAGTGGCGGGAGCTGGGGTGAGTGTGAATGACTGACACACACACAGGAGGGAGGTGTGATTAAATAGGTTTGACAATCACTGTCTTAAAGAACAAGTCACTGTGATCCTAAGCTCTCTCACAGGCAACCTTGTTCAAGTGAAGAAAGTGGGGATCGGATGTTGCTACCAATTAATCCACCATCCACTGAGCCATGTTCCCTCTGTTTTTTTTTCCTTTAGCTCCAGGCAACATGCAATGTGAATCAGTCCCTGTTCAATGACTGGTTTACTGGGCACCTTAACTTCCAAATCGAGCATCAGTGAGTATAGGCACCTCTGGAAACAAGGAAATTCCTGGTGGGGGGGGGGGCGGCAATGGGTTTCCCTGGGGCACCCCTGGGTAATGCGCCCAGCAGAAAGGGCAGAACAGAACACCAATGAGTATCCATTCCTGGGGGAGGGGAGAGGATTTCTACAGAGCATTGAAGAATGTACATCCTACTGAAACTGCCTCATTATCTCTTCACAGTCTTTTCCCCAGGATGCCACGACACAACTACTGGAAAGTGGCCCCCCTGGTGAAGTCACTGTGTGCCAAACATGGCATCGAGTACCAGAGCAAGCCTCTGCTGACTGGGTTTGCAGACATTTTGCGGTAAGTATCAACCGACTGGGTTGGTGCAGTAGCTGTTGGCAAGATAGGCACAGGTGTTGAGACAAAGGGATACAGGATGTAGGTGGACTAGGACTGGATGACTCAGGATTGTAAGTGACTCAGAGTAAAGATGGTCCAGTGGTTGGGGTTAGCCTAAGACTTGGGAGACACAGATTCAATTTCTAATTTGCCAGATTTCCTGAGTGACCGTAGGCAAGTCCCTTGACCTTTGTGTGTCCCCATTTGTACAATAGGATAATAGGACTCCTCTGCCTCACAGGAATACTTTGAAAACAAATACATTAAGGATGGTGAGGTGCTCAGACCATCAGCAGACAGGGTTGTGGTAATCTGTGACGGGGCGGACAAGGCCCAGAGCCATAGATAAGTCCTCCAGGAGGTTAGAGAGACTCTGGAGGAACCAGCCAATCAGGGGCCAGGGAGGCCTACAAAAAAAGCTGCAGGACTAGAGGCAGAACTGTTGCAGCCCAGACCTGGAAGGGAGAAGGTCAGGCTGGCTGGCAGAACCAGGGATAACTCAGAGTGGAGAGCTGTTGAGAGACTGATGAATTGTGATAGAGCCCTGGGGTAAAGATGTGGACTTGTCTCCGGAAGGGGAAGCCCTGGAGGCACCACTCTCGTTCAAAGTGAGGGAACGGCATCAAACTGAGGGATATTCTACAAAGGGCACCAGGATGGGCCCTTGTTAGAGGTCTACCCCCGTCAGGGTTTGTGATCACAGAGTGTGACTCAGCCAAAAAGGCTGAAGACTGTGGGCAGTGCAGACACAGGCACTTGGCCAAATGGGGGTGCTCGTGTGAGATGAGGGCCACACCGTTACACGATGCTAGTGTGTGGAGGATGACATTTTGCTCCACAAAGGGTGACCTTGCATGCCTAATACGTATGGGGTCATGCTGTGTAAAAGATGCCATATTGTAGCATAAAATGGCATCCCCAGTGTGGTGTGACCTCACGCTTACTATGCATGCAAGGTCAAGCTGTGTGAAGGAAGCCTTTTGCTCTTCAAAATAGCATCCTCCATGCTGTCTGGGGTCCTATAAGGAAATAGTTAAAATGGAGTCATGCTGGCAAAAGCTTTTGGAACTGCTTCCTTAGAATTGGATACTGAATCTTTCCTTTCTAGATCGTAGCTTCCAGTCTAGGCCTAGGCCTGTATGATACAACTGGGCAGCTGTGCAAATGATGTTATGTATGTTTGTGTGTTTGCGCGTGCTATATGCATCGACAGACTGTCTCTTGTTTTACCCTCCTGTAGCTCTCTCCACCTGCTTTTGCACCTTTCTTCTCTGTTTCTTCTGCATTTCTCCACATGAGGAATTCAGTGGGATTCCTCTGCCGGATTCCATGCTGCTGCCCTTAAAAGAACAGTAAGAGATTGTGACTAGCGGGGACAAATACCACCTGTTAAAAACATTGTGTGTAAATGCTGTGTATGTTGCATGGGTGTTGATAGTGACCCTGTATTGCGTTGCCCAGTGTTCTCCATTACAAAGCCTGTATTCTCAAACGTATCTCTTTGTGCTCCTCTTCTTTGTGTCTGCGGTCATTTACCGCCTTTCTTTTTAAGAAAATCTAAGAAATCTCTCTCTCTCACCCACACCCTCTCCGTGAAAAGACTGTGTAATTTGCAAAGTCAAGAACTCAAAAGTTAGGAAATACCAAATTTGCTGTTGGATGTGCAGGTTGAACCTCTAAAAACTGGAACTCTCTCGTCTGGCAATAGCAGTGTCTGACAGGAGCACAGATGTTGTTGGACCAGAGAGCCCCAGTTGACCAGGTTCAGAAGCACAGCCCCATTGGTATACAGATCTTGCACAAAAGAGGCTTTTGCCTCATATACACTGCATTTTGTGTGTGCAAAAACCTCTTCTGCAAAACGGATTGGAAGAGACTATGCAAATGAGAGCGCAAGAAATGCTAATGAGCGCTTCATTTGCATTGTCTCTGCTGACAAAGGCTGCAGTGTAGACGTAGCCTTAGTGCCCAAGATGGACAAAGAGACAGAGTTAAGGGGTCCTGCCACATAATTTTGGTTTCATATGCTGCATGAGTACACAAGGCCTTGGTTTTAAACAAACCATTTAGATGCACAGTAAAGTGCTGCTATTGAGTAAGTTGTACTCAATTTATCATTGACTTTGTTTTTTGTATATGGCCTGCCTGTTACAATTCACCTAACACCGCCAAGGAGGAGTGTGCTTTCTCTTAATCTTGACATCAGCATCTATCCATTACTGTTGGGCTGTACCTTGGTCTGTGTGGCTATGCAAAGCAGCAGAGCTCCATCTCCTAGTGGGGACAACTGAGGTTCAGGCCTCTTCTGCCTGTATTGATTGCAACTTTATTTTACACGTTTGGGTTTGTTCCCTGTTTGTAGTAAAAACTTATTTTTTCTTCCTGCCCCATCTCTGTCTCACTGAAGAGTATCAGAGCATTGATGCTTTGTTTCCTCTGGGCACCCTGGTGAATGTAACTCCCTGAGCAGAACCTCTCAATCCACACAGTAGCACAATGGCCTAGAAAACATTGTAGAAATCTCCAAAGGAGTCCATTTTGTGGGGCAGCATTCTCAGAGTCCAGAGGTGAGTGCTGTCATGCGTGCTCCCAGCCCATCCCCTCTTGTCCTTCCAGCGTTGAACAGGGAGATGGAGGCTACATCTAGACTGCACGCCTTTTTCAACAGAGGCTTTTTTGACAGTATCTTTCGAAAAAGCCTCTGTTGAAAAAGAGCATCTAGGCAACAAGATTTTTTGAAAAGCGGCTCGCTTTTTTAAAAGAGCCTAGATAGATGCTCTCTTTTGAAAAAGCCCTGTTTTCATGCAGTAGCGCCTTTTTTCGAAAGACGACTTTTGAAAAAAGGCGTTATATCTCGTAGAATGAGGTTTACCGCCGTCGAGAAAACCACCGCGTCCTGTCGATTTACTGTCAACAGAACGCGGCGGTAGTCTAGATTCAGGTATAGTTTTTTTGAAAAAAGGCCATGTTAAAAAAAAAAAAAGTCGTCTAGACACACCCGGAGTGTCACACTAGACTTCTGTCTCATGACTCTATTTGTTTCCTCTGATTTATGTTCCGTCTCCTATACTGACTATCGGGGCTCAAATTCTCTCCCCTCTGCAGCTCTCTGAAGGATTCAGGAGAACTCTGGCTTGATGCCTATCTGCACGGATAAGCAGCAGCAGCTCGAGGACTGATTGCCCTGAAGATGTAGTGCACAGAAGTGGAGGGACATGAGTGGGCTTACCTGTTGGGGTGGGGGAGCTGGTGGGCCTACTTCCAGTGTGTGTATGGGGTTCTATAAGACAATTTTTCTCCTATTATAATGCTCTTGGTCTGGCGTACGTGGGATGGTATATGTATATGGGAACCACTAGGGATTAATCTTGCTCTGGGGAAGGTGGCTTTAACCATGGGAACAGCAGCTGACATTTCCCTTGGTGCATACATGGCGGTGAATCCTATCCAGCTTTTTCCTAGTGGGAGAGAGTCAACATGAAAATGGAGATAGTGTAAAAATTTCTGGAGAGAGATCCATGGGTCAGGGAGAGGGCCACTGTGGTGACAAAGAAAAGGAAGAGCCATTTAAGGCTACAATATACTCTTACAACCGAAGTCTGTAAGCCACAAAGTGGATGTGAAACAATAGTGTGGACATGACACTAAAAGGACCAAAACTCAGGATGGGTGCAAGGTCAGAGGTGAAAACACCAAGCAGGATTAGCCATTGGACCAGAGGCACTGCACATGAGACTTGGCCTGATGTGTCGTGTTCAGTGACAATGTGCCCGCTAAACTTTTCGATCCATAGGCAGATTTTTTCTATTCATGTGTGGAATAATTTATGTGCGCCAAGGCATACATAGGTGCACCACCAGCAGTAATAAAAACCTAGCTGCGGATATTTGAATCTCTCCTGGGCAGTCACACAATCTCTCATCTTACAGAGAATACTGTTCACTGGACCCACTTCTGAGAGCAAGTAGTGAGAAGAGCCTTAATCTCTGATTAGTTGTCCATTTGCAATTTCAAATGTAATGAGTATGGGCAGCATCTCCCCTGCCTGGGCCAAATTTAGGTGATTAAGAGTTAATTGAGCAAATATATTGCATGCATGATAGGATATACATTAGTCCAGGGAAATCCCTATTCCATTGATTTAGCTGTTAAAATCTCCCTGAAGGTTTATCGTATGAGAAAAAGCCAGGCAAGGCTCAGAGGCAGATCTATGGTAAAGCAATTTCATTTTTGTCTCGTCATATAAGGGATAAATAGATGTCACTGACACCTCAGTAGCGCGGCATTTAGTGCTGACTGATATGGTGCAGGCTGAAGCTTTAGGGGATTGCCAAGGTTGCAACTAAGTGATACAGTCCCTCCGGCTTCTCTTTGAAAGTTAAAAAGGGTTGCTAGTTCTAACATAGGCATTTAGCTAGGTAATTAGTGGGACAAGGAACCTTTTTTCTATCAAGAGCCACAGAAAAAAAAAATCAGTCAGGGGCCAAACAAAGCCCCTGTGTGTGAAGAGGGTGTGGAGGCTCTGGGCTTTCCCTAGGCTCTGGGTTGGGGTCAAAAATGAGTTCCGGGTGCAGAAAGGGGCTCCAGGGTGGGACAGGGATGGGGGTGCAGACTGTGGGGGTGTGATCTCTGAAGTGCAGCCAGGGACGTGGCAGAGGTTGAGATGCAGGAGGAGGTTTGGGCTCTGTGTGGAAAGAGGCTCAGAGATGAGATGCAGGTGGGGATGTGGCTCTCAGAGGAAGTTGAAGTGCAAGAAGGGGTTCTACCCTGTGGCAAAGGGTTCAGGGTGTGGGCTCTGACTAGCCATCGTTTACCTCAGGAGGCTCCTGGCCAGTGGTGCAGCAAGGCTAAGGCAGGCTTCCTGCCTGCCCTGGCTCTGAGCCGCTCCTGGAAGCAGTTGCCAAGTCTGGTTCCTAGAAAGTCAAGGTGCTTCTCACCCACTGGCACTGACCCTGCAGCTCCCACTGATTGGGGTTCCGGCCAATCAGAGCTGCAGAGCTGGCGCTAGGGGCAGGAGCAGCATGTGGCACTTCCCTGATCACTCTTCTGCCCCAGGGACATGGCAGTGAGCCAGTGTTCCTGGCTACAGTTATATGTGAACGTACACTAAGGCTCAGGACTTTTGGCCCATGGTATAGAGACTTGCCCCAGGCTGGATGAAACGAAACAGTGGACCTGATCCACTCCATGAGCTGCAGGTGCCTTATCCCTGGTGTGACAGATCCAAGGCCTCCATACTTGACAGCTGTCAGCAAAGATGGAACTTGCATCAATCCACTCCACAACAACAAACCCCTACCACTTAGAGAATCTTCATTAACTCCAGCAGTATTAAGTCTTACAACACACACCTGACCCTCCATCAACTTGCGGTACTGATGCACGTACATTGTAGGCAATATATTGCACCTGGTTGTTTCTTATATTACATGCTTCTGAAGAGTGTCCTCATAAATAAAGTTGTCCGAGAATGAAAATTCTACCTCCACCTCCTTTTAATATTTAATTGCAATATACAGGGAAATACGCCACCCTTAAAGACATAGGATAGATCTAATGTGGTGCTTTGATTGTGGAGGATAAACATAAAATATATTTCATACAATTTTAATTCTTATGTATGTCACTTTTAGTAGCAATAAATAACAGTTCTTTGCTGTGTGTAAGTTTTTAATCTTGTTGTTTTGAATCTTCTGCAGTGATTGCAGGGCATTTATGTTCTGAAAACAGTTCAGGAGGCTGCATAGTAGAGAAAAAATTATTTCAGAATTGTAAAGAGCTACCCTCATCTGTTAAGATAAAACAAGGGTTAAGATTTCTGCTGGAGTAGAAGCAGGCTTTTATATTGCACCCCTATTAACTCGAGCAGAAACTGACATCTGCCAGAAGAGCAAAGATGCTAGCTGTATGCCACCAATACGTGCAAGCCGCCAGAGCCAGTGCTAGCCCACTGGGGCTCCTACTTGGGAATAATGGGGGAATAGCCCTTACCCACTCCCTAGGAATTCTGATTACATTATTTCTTGAGCTGCTTGGGGCCTTAAGCAAGTGCTTAGTCTGCTTATGCCTAACTGCCACTTAAGCCAGCAGCTTCATTTGTATAGATCAAACTCAGTGTCCTGCACACATCTGCCTCAAATTCTCCCCCAAAAAACCTAAGTTTATCCCCTGTTTTTCCAAGCCACCTCCAGCAAGGTGCTCCATGCTACCTTCACAAACTTCTGTGAGCTGACTCCCAGCTTCCCCTTGCTACCAACACAGCCTCCTAGCTTCTGTCTGCACAATCTCACACACTTAGCTTCTCCAGACATCAGCGGTGGATATAGGGCAGGACGAGCGGGGTGGCTGCCTCAGGCCCTGCACTTCAATAGGCCCTGCGCCAATGCTGGCGTGAATACGCAATGGCTGTCAGCGCGCATCAGCACACATGCGCGAAATTGTGCTGCCCAGGGCCCTGCAAAACTCTCATTAGCCCCTGCCAGACAGTTTTGAGCCTCCCCCTCCTCACCTACCACAGTTGCCAAGTTTTGTGTAGCTGCCTTTGGGCTGCATAATGGAATCGTCACTGTAGAATCTTTTAACAATCTTCCCTCCCCCAGAGACAGAGAACAGATCCTAACTTAAAGCCACAAAATTTTGAAAACATTCCTTTGCCCATGATATACCTGCCACAGGGAAAGACTTGTCTATTTGAGATTTACTTCAGTGTACAAGAAGCATCTGCTGGCCAACAGTGTGGAAAACCATTTGGGTATATTCATTTGAATTCCTCCCTCTCCCCTCAATTTCTCTCTCAACTATGTCTACACTGTGCTGGTTTTGTGCAAGAAATATGCAAATGAGGCTAAGCATGGAAAAACAGGTCCCATTGGCATAATTGAGTGGCTGCTCAATTGTGCAAGAGGCTCCTACTTGTGCAAAAAGCCCCTCTTGCGCAAGAGCTGTTCTTCCCCATTTTTTTTCAGGAAGAATGGCTCTTGTGCAAGAGGGGTTTTTGTGCAAGAAGGATCCATGTAGACGGCTCCTTTTTGCGCAAAAGCCTCTTGTGCAAAAAGCAGTCACTCATTAATTATGCAAATGAGGCTCAGCAATTCCATGCTTAGCCTCATATACATATTTCTTGCGGAAAACCAGCGCAGTGTAGACATAGCCTCATACTCGCTACAGGCAGTGATTTGCATTTACGACATTATCCCAGCCAGGTAATCTTTAATCACCTAGCTGCAGGCATTTAACTACAAATACATCATATTCAACTAGCTAGCCATGCCTCACACACTGAAATTGTAACAGCTTTCAGTGACTTCAGTGCACATAACCATGGGTTGCTTTGCTCAGTTCTGCATCAGTGATCCTTTATTAAAACACCTTCCAATGATGGGCAGACAGCAAGAAGTTCTTACTGATGTTTTTAGTTCAAAGCAAGCTGTTGTTCAAACCTTGACAGCTCATCTAAATGTGACTGAATTAAGGAAAACCCGACATTTTGAATTTACCGCTTTCACTTCTGACACAACCCCAAACTCAAGGTAGTGAAATAGATGCTGGACAAACAGAAACCTGCTGCATTATAAGTGTGCAGTATTGCTGACAAAACCTCAGGTCATGAGAGGTTACATGGATGTAACCAGCCTCTTAGTGAATAAGTTTAGCAATGAAATAAATCTGTACTTCCGCCAGTAAATCACTGTGCAACAAGAGCTACAAAAAATAGTCCCCCCAAGCCTCTGGGTTGAAAGTGCGATTAGGATGAAACAGAGAATTTATAGAGATGTGGCGCTGTAGTCTGAATTTGGTCTCTCAGCCCTGGCCTACACTAGGGAGTTATTTCAAATAACAAGCAGAGCGTCCACATGATCAAGTCCGTGAGGGTACGTCTACACTACAGTGCTAATTTGAACTAACTTAGTTCCAATTAGTTAATTCGAACTGAGCTAATTCGAATTAGCGCAGCGAGACCTAAAAACTAGTTCGAATTAGCGTTTTGCTCATTCGAACTAGCATGTCCACATTGAGTGGACCCTGAACCAGGCTTAAGGATGGCCGGAAGCAGTGCCGGCAGGGCATCAGAGTAGGACTTAGAGCGTGGAGATGCTGTCTCAGGCTAGCCGAGGGCTGTGCTTAAAGGGACCCGACCCCCACCCCGGACAGACAGTTCTCAGGGGTTCCCCGCTTGCAAAGCAGTCCTGGCTTGGAGTGCCCTGAGTGCCCACACTGGGCACATCACAGCACTCGGCCATCAGACCGGCTGCACTTGCCGCAGGCTGCCATCTGGGGAGAGGAGGTAATTGGGGGGGCTGCAGGAGAGCTTCCACCCCCAAAAGCCCGCAGAGCCAGCCCAGTCCTCCCCATCGGGGGCTCGTGCCCCATTCCTCCCTCACCTCTTTCCACTTACCCTTCCCTAGCCCCTCTTCTTGATGTACAAAATAAAG